ACACACACACACACACACACTCACTCACTCACACACATCTGAGTGATAAATTGCAGTATTCCAACATCTTTGTAGATATCATCAGACCATGTTTTCAGCATTAAGATAAAAAAACGTATTTGCTCTAACATTATAACCCGCTCCCTCCACATGTTGGGCCTATGTAGAGGTAATAGGCAATTAAAAGAATGCTGCTCACTGATGCTGATGGGAATATGGCCGCAGCTAAAACTCATTAAAATCACATAGCCTATATTCTAAACGTCATAATTAGTCATAGCCGTGTGTAAAATCCTCGAAATTATTGGCATATTAAAAAAGAAAATAATTTCCACATAGTCTGAGCTAATTGGACGTGTCTTACGAACAACCTTCAAAGTGTGCAAATGTTTGAAATCAGTGCGTATGACAAGAGTTAGGCTAAAGTCAACAGGAATGAAGGGCGTGCACGCACACACACATACACACACAAACACACACAGACACACACATACACATACACACACACACACACACACACATACACACACATACACACACAGACACACAGAGCGCCTTGGAGGTGCTTGGGTGGACAGACATGCTGGGAAATCGCCTGGAACTGTATTAAGCCTGACGTCCTTAAAACAAACAATGGCACCATGAAATAAGGGCTTATGTGCTCAAAGTCAAAGAGCCCCCTCAGCAACTCTCCCTGTTTATCTCTCCCTCTGTCTGACACACACACACACCATTTCTTGGGGGTTACACACTCAGGCAGCTCTATTGGGAGGGGACCTACTTTGCTCCTGTGAACTCTCACCTGTCAACATGGAGCAGAGGACTTTACTTGGTAAACACGAAAGGACTTTAGCTGTTTACTTCTGGCGGTGACTTAGCCCCTTTTATTCACTGCGAGGCTGCGGTCACAGCTGGTTCTCTTTGTGCATCTCAAGTCAGCAGTTAGATCCACGTCAAACTACGTGTAATAATGTGGCGATTTTAATAAGTCCGCTTACAGACTGCATATTTTCTGGAACATGACGAGTTATTTTCAGGCACTATGTGATGCTTCCAAGTTGGCTTGCTTCAATCAGACTGACCTATTGGTTGGTTTTGTGGTCCACACTGCTCTCTACCGCCCCACTGAATATTGTGATGGCTACTTGAGGGAATCAGGAGTAATAGTTACAAAAGAAAAGATTGTATTTGAATTGAATTGCTTATTAATGCTGCCATTGAAAGGATGTTTAACGTTTTTTTTCCCATTGATGTATCTATTTTGTGTTCATAAACACAAAGTAATACATTTGCTTATATATCAAAGAAGAATTGCACTTAATATCATGCACTGGTCTCTGTGCTCTTCAGGTTTCCATAGCCATTATCATCTGCTGCAGCGATACTGTTTAAAAAAAAAAAAGGGCTGTGGCAGATAAGCGGCGGTCTGTTTTCGCTCCTCTGATCAGCTGTAATTATATTTGTTGGCGTGGAGGTAAGTGGTCCTCCCCGGGGGGCGTATTGTACTCGACTCTCCCCGTGTCATAAAATAAAATTACAAGGAAAGGAGAAGATATCCTACAATAACAGAGGCGAGTCGTAAAATCAAAGAGTAGCTAAATTAAATCTGAAGGAAGAAAAAAACCCTCACGGAAAACACATTAGGGCTGTGATGGACGGGGGCAGGGGGCTTCAAATAAAACGCAGGTTAATGACTTTTTAATAGCTTCGACGACTGTACGGTTGGTTAAAGCGTGCACACACAC